AAGTTTATATGTCTTTTTCAATTTGCCATCGGCGGAACAAAAAGGCCGCTGAAAATAACAACAAAAGCACTTTACAAATCAATCGACAGTTTATGTTTACTACCGCATTGGCGTTGCACTTTTTTTTCTTCCACGAAACAAAAAGAAACTTGTTTTGATTTTCCGCTTCGAACATATTTCTTTTATTTTTGGCATGCACGCGGCTTTTTTATGGCGCAAACCAGATTCGTACCATCGTTCATTAGACGGAATAGATAGAAAAGAAAATGGCTTGAAGCATCCAAGGTCGAAGGTGATCTTTGATCAAATAAAATGTGTGGTTTTGATTGGAAAACGCACGTCAAAACGTGCGATGATTGAATAACGATTTCGCACGTAATCATTATTCACATCGCCATTCGATGAAGACCTAGAGCACACATACACATTATTTCGAAAAATGGTCCCGATCGACTTTTAGCACATTCGTTATATCATTCGAAAATAATCACGATGTGATGCATAATCGATCCGAAATTGACTGAAGTGAAAACAACGAAGATCTATTCCTGTGCCGCCCCGTGCAATTGAAGAGAAAATAAAGGCATTGCCGTTGACTTGGTGCGATTTATTGGCAATTGGACAAATTGCATGGCGTCAATTCTAAACCTAGATCGCATTAGTGATCGCCTACGAATAAGAAGACGAAAACAAAGACAACGATTTTGCACGATGTCTCTAATGACGTTATGCAAGTTCAGCGATGAGCCATTCGCTTCCAACCACAGTACTTTCGCTATTCGGTTTGTCGCGCGCGCATTTCTACTCAAATATGAATTGAGTCAGCATTTGTCTCTTCATCAGTATCGATTTTGCGCGATTCGAAATTTGAATTGAACACACCGAGCGTCGTCAATTGGCTGTTAGCCGGTTCTTCAGCTGTATACGATCAGTGAAAGTAGTAGATCACACAATTATTTCACCGTGATTTTTCGTTCAATTTTCTATTGCATCTTAATTTATTATTTTAGCATTACCATCATCCACAACAACAACGAAAAATAGTCACTTATACCGTTTTTTTCGTCGTCAAGTCGTTATGCCTTCGCAAAACGGCACGAATTGCCAACGACTGTTTCACTTTATAGCTGCCGTCATAAAAATAATGTTGAAAACAAAAGGAATTTTTTTTTCTTCATTTAAAGAAAAAGTCCCGCCATAAAATGCACATTGGCGGCATACTGCGAGAAAAACTCGAGAAAGAGATAGAGTGAAACTGATTCGGCAACTTTTTCTTAAGAAAAGCGAAAAACTTCTCGAGTCTCTCGAAATGATATGGTCATTTGATACCAGTTTTTTTTTATCAATGCATCCTGACATCAAATAATGCGGAACGCGCCAATCAATCTAAAAATTTAATGTGAATATATTCATTTGCCGTTTAATATCTATATTTGCGGGCGATGTGTTTTTTGTGAGTGGAATTCGGAATGAAGTTTTTGCTATGCATAAATTATACACATTGAATTCATTAATTGATGTTGAGAGCATGCTCAACAATGCCAGAGAAAATGTATAATTAAAACAATGAAATCAGCAAAATCCCTTTGAGTTTTGGCATCGCTTGAAGCCTCTTTGTTGATGCGATAAGTACAGGTTGTCATTTAAATGGTACGTCATGTTGCTTCGACAGATAAATTCTCGTCAGCCAGACTTTCATCCGATTTGAACAATGAATTTGCTTGATTTGATCCGGGTGTGTTGCTTTCGCATTAAAGCATTTTGTTGAGATTGCATCGCATTCGATACTTTTTCTTTTACAATATCTGCATTAGGCTAGAAGCTGCAAATGATGTTGAACTTCGAGCAATGAACAATGTAAGAAAAAAAGGGGAAATAATTGGTAAAATTAGTTCAAATTTATGAATGCAATAGAAATAAATGGAATTTCAACTTCGATTCGATTTGTTGCGCATATAATCAGAAGAAGCATATAATATAAAATCAAAAACAGCAGCGAAAAAAAAGCACGAGTGAACAAACACAATTGAGCGGCAGATTTAAAGCCAGCGATAACAAATCGAATTATGCTACCGATATTATTTAATTGTCTTATATAACCTAGTTTATTTTTGCTTGTCGTGTGACTTTCATCGAAACAGAAGCAAAATTGCTTGCATTTTGGAAATGTTATGTGTAAGTGCGCGCGATCCACATAATTTTTTCGGCAGATTAAACCACGTTTGCGCGATTTTAGAGCAATATTTTTTTATGTAATTCTGTCTTGCTCGTGATTCGCAAACAAAATGGTGAGATGACAGCGACACACACACACAATTGACATTATCGCAAAACAAAATCTTGTATTTCTACTCAATTTCAATCGATTACAATCGATAAATTGGAATCAATTGGCGCGGGAATAAAATACTTATATGAGAGCTAACTACTTCATTGTACACCATACTCCGGATATTAGTGCGATTTCATTTTGAATTTTATGTGTTTAACCTTTATGAAGGCGAAAACTAATAGCATTGCTCATAGTCAAACGGCAAAATCAAATTTATGAAATAGTATTACATGCATCAGTTGGTTTCGTGTTTTCTTTCGTACACGATTTGAAAACCGAATTTAAAAATATCAAACTACTCCAAATGTAGACTTCTTTACTTCCTTCATCCCATTTGCATTTTATAAAAGTCACGTGTAAAATAAATGACAAATAACGGTGCTATTAAATTTAATTTCAATTGGACAAAAGCGTTGTTGTTACTTAAACATGAAATTGTCGAGACTCTTTTTTATCTATTCAACTTTTTTGGGCAAGCATAGACAAAAGAAAATTCGGTCGCATATAACGCAACCATTCATAATTTGGTCTTTGTATTTAATTTCAAGTAGTTGTGTCTCTATTTGTTGAGTATTAATCATTTTTACATTTGGAAAAACAAGCTGTCACACGGCTTAATCACCAGATAATCAAATTTGTATGGATTTTTGTGTCACGAAAGATTCGGTTTTTTTTAAAAATGAGATTTGACATTTTTCTCGGCTATTTGTTAATGGCTAGGTTAATGGTGAAAAAAGTGTATTGAATGAAGAGAAGAAAAAAAGATCATTTTTTAAAGTAAATCGTAATGATGTGTTTCAATATAATAAGTTGTATGAAGCACACGTTCGTCAAGCGAAAGTGACTCGTGCCGTTTGTGTTAATCAGATGTGGCAGAATGTTTTCTGCTATCGAGTATATATTCAAAAACAGGAAAATCTTCTATGATGAACAAAAAGGCGGCTCATCTCATTCAAAACATGCGACTTCTTTCTTCTTCTTGGTCGGATCACACTTCTCTTTTCTGCATCAGAGAAACGAAACTCGTTTTGCATAGGAAAAATAGTTGGCAGCTATAACAAGCTGATTTGAACTACATTTGAAAACGATGCAATGTTACATTAGTATGGTCATAAGATTTTGCTTTCGTTTGTTCACAAGTCAGATATTTAGTCACTCTTTCTTGTTCTCTCTTTCTGTCTTCATCTATTTTTCTCTTACTCACTCTCTGTCTCCTTCTCGATGTCTCATTGGCGATGTCGACTGGCGATGTAATTATGCTGGAATGAAAACGTGCAAAATAGAAAAAAAGGGGTCTTGAAATTTGAGATGAAGCAAAAAGCGTGATACAAATATACGAAATCCGCCATCGCCACCGCCGCCGCCACGAGAAAATTTAGGACACAAACGTACGATTTCGTAGATCAATTATGGTGTTATTGTTATTTTTTTTTTTCGTATAGTTGCCGTTTTTTTCTGTTTCATTCGCATAATATGCTAAAATCTCGTTTTTTTCGTACTCAGTCTCTGGCTTTTATCCAATATTACTCAACTTTATCCAAGTGCATAATATATTTTACCATTTTTATTTAGAAACTTCTAGCGTGTGAAAATTTCGATGTTTTGTCTGTGTGTGTATTCGACACACAAAGCCATACGCAATTGATGTCTATGTTGTTGGTTGGATTATTATATTTTTTTCTTTCATTCAAGAGATTTTAATGAATATTTAAGTGAGGAAATTCAAATCAAAAACGACAAATTCAAAGCATTCAACGCTGACTAAACCACAACATCTATTTCGAATCCATTGCGCTGCAATCATTAAATAAAAGCATTTTGGTGCACTTAACGCGTTCTTCGTACCACATTTCGACTCATGCATCGTAGCGTGTATTTTATGTTTCAATTTTGTGTTTGATTATTGTTTGTAGTATCGATGGTGAAATGCGCATACGCATTTCTGCGTAGTTTGTTTCACTTCCATTTTTCTTTCAATGTAAGCTCTCTATTTCTCTCTTCATTGAAATGACTGTACACATATTTTATTTCGATGTATGATTCATTCACTCGATAATCTTAAGATATATTGAAATAAAAAGAAATAATAACAGTGAAAACAAAGTGTATGTGTTTTGCGTGCACAACGCACATCCAATACACGATACAAATTAAATGAAAACAAAAGCGCTTGGGAACGAACAAATGAAATATGTTGTTGTTGTTGAACAGTTTATGCGAATGCTGTGGCGAATTATCGTCAAATAAAAAAAAGATCGGCTCAAATCTTGAATGAAATCCGAAAATCGTAAACGATATCTATCTAACAAAAGCACTGTGTAAACGAATTATTTATGGTCTGTTTAATGCTTTTGCGCACAATTTCGGTTATGGGCTTTCGTTGCGCTCTATTAATGGAGACTATAGACGCGCACGCGCATAACAAATCAACTTGAAATACAATAATTTAACATTCAATTAAAAGAGAGAAAAAAGCGCCTACCACACCAAAAAAAAACCATTTAAATCAATTTTACACACATCCAAAACGCAAACTGATTTGTTTTCGCATTCAAATGGAAACTGATTTGATTTCATGTAAAATAGGTGTATGTCACTCATGTAGTTTCGCGCGCACGCTTACATTGTTTTCTTTGTTTCATTTCGAATTCTTGATTCTTTGTTACAGATAAGGCGAGAAGCATTTTCATGGATTCTGCTGCTGCTGAGTTTGGCTGCCTCGATTGAGCAAAGTATGTTTGACGGACTGGTGTTGATCTATCTAACGTTAATGTCTAATAAATGTTTAATTTTCTGTTGCAGGTCAATCGAACGAAGCACGTGTTGTGTGTTATTATACAAATTGGAGTATATACCGACCGGGAACAGCCAAATTTAGTCCACAAAACATAAATCCATACTTGTGTACGCATTTGATTTATGCTTTTGGCGGTTTTACAAAAGATAATCAATTGAAACCGTTCGATAAGTATCAAGATATTGAAAAGGGTGGATATGCCAAATTTAACGGTTTGAAGACGTACAACAAGAACTTGAAAACAATACTCGCCATTGGTGGATGGAATGAGGGCTCAAGCCGATTTTCAGCGATGGTCGCCAGCCCTGATAGACGCCGCGAATTCGTTAAAAACGCAGTCAAATTTTTGCGACAAAATCACTTCGATGGATTGGACCTCGATTGGGAATATCCAGCGTAATTTTTTACCATAGCTTTTTATTCATAGTTTCATTCTTTTAATTAGTTCATTCAATTCTCTTTTTGCAGTTTCCGCGATGGTGGCAAACCTCGAGACAAAGAAAATTATGCCAAATTCGTGCAGGAATTGAGAGAGGAATTCAATCGCGAATCAGAGAAAACCGGCAGATCTCGATTGCTTCTTACAATGGCGGTGCCGGCCGGTACTGAATATATACAAAAGGGTTACGATATTCCAAAGCTTAATAAGTACTTGGATTGGTTCAATTTACTCACTTATGACTATCATAGTGCGTTCGAGCCCTCAACGGCGCACCATTCGCCATTATTTGCACTTGAAAAAGCATCCGAATATAATTTTGACTCTGAATTAAACATTGTAAGTTTTCAATTGAATGTGGCCATTTTCTTCGCCTTGATAAGAATTGATAAAATGATGTTTTCTTCTCAATAGGATTACACAATAAAGTTCTATATAAATGAAGGCGCAGACCCAAGCAAATTAGTTTTGGGAATTCCTACATACGGCCGATCGTATACGTTGTTGAATGAAGAATCGACCGATATGGGCGCGCCAACAGATGGACCCGGTGCACAAGGCGACGCAACGCGCGAAAAAGGCTATTTGGCTTACTATGAGGTTCGACATTCATTCATTTCCCTTTCTTTAAAAAGTGCTTAACTGATTGTCCTCTACTAGATTTGCCAAAGTATCAAAGAAGACGATGCATGGACAGTTGTGCAACCGAACCCGAGTGCAATGGGCCCCTATGCTTTTCGTGAAAATTTATGGGTGGGATATGATGATGAAGCGATCGCAAGAGCGAAAGGTGAATATGTTGTGGCGAATGGATTGGGTGGTATTATGTTTTGGTCAATTGATAACGATGATTTCCGTGGCACGTGTCACGGTCGACCATACCCGATCATCGAGGCTGCCAAAGAGGCGCTCAATAGAGAAAGGTAGATATTTTATAATTCAAATTCAGTTGCCTTGACTCGATGCAATTGTGTAATAATTGTTTTAGTGGCAGCGAAAATGACGTGATAACTCCAGCCAAACGTAAGAAGCCAAGCCGTTCACGCAGTCGTATAAATTCAAACTCAAAAACGAACAATGTTAACAGCGATCAAGATGAGGAAAAAACAATACAACGCCGACCAACGGCAAGACGCACCAAACCGACACCAAAACCGGTGGTAAAAGAAGCTGTTGAATACTCCAGTCCAAATTCCAAAAAGGTATAAATTTAAGTGGGCTCTATACATATGCCAGTTGTTTAGAATTGCTTCCCCTGTAAATGTTTTCCATTTCGATAATTGATATTGCAATTACATCTCGATAAAATCACGCTCAAATCCGGACAATCTTTTTCGAGCACTTTTTGCTTCAATTCATCGTGTTTAAACACAACATTTCGTACAATTGTTTTCATGCGTTCTTCAAAATTTTCCGCCAATAGTTTGTAATTTTTCAATTGTTTCTCAAATTTTGTTGTCGAGACATAGTTTTGTGTTTGTTTCAATGAAGTTTGAACAATGTGTGTATGAAACAAAAATTCCAAATACCAAATGTCGTTGCTCGCATACAAAAGTACACGTATATATAAACACATTGACAAAAAAGTTTATTTACCTACAGCGCACGACGACACCAGAGCCTCCAACGACACCAAATCCAGGCGCAGATTTTAAATGTGAAGAAGAAGGTTTCTTCCCCAATCCTCAAGATTGTAAAAGTGAGTACATACGAATAATTGATTGGCAATCATTTTCATTGTCAATTTAAATTAATTTTTTTTTCTGAATTTAGAATATTTCTGGTGTTTGGATAGTGGGCCATCAAATTTGGGCATTGTTGCACATCACTTCACTTGTCCATCTGGTTTGATATTCAATAAGCTCACCGATTCATGCGATTATGCGCGTAATGTTATATGCGAAAAACCGAAAACTACAACTCAAAGGTAATTGTTTTCACTTGGTTTACTTTTGCGATACGCAACGTTAACGCTAATTATTTCTGCCAACCAATAAATGTAGTGCAACAACGGAAAGTACAACAAAAAAATCATCGACGGCAAAGAGTATTATTATCGGAAGACCTTCAACAACAACACCAGCGCAATCGGAGGAAGAAGAAGAGGTAAGTGTCGATTTTAATTGATGGGAAAAGTTTGTTTCTATTTCACTTCTGTAAAAGTGAATATTGATTTTCATTTTTATTTTATTCGTGTAGGAGGAATATGATGAAGAAGAAGACGAACCGGTAGATGTGAAAACATCGGTTAACACAAAACTCGAGCATGCACTAGAAGAAGAAGATCCAGAGGTGATTAAGGAATTGATAACACTTATTAAAAAAGTGGGTGGTCTCGATGAACTGGAAAAACAATTACAAATGCGATTAAATCTAAACGAAAACTCGGCCATTGTTGGTACCGGTGGTAAAACGACCACCACTACCGTTTCACCAATTAGCCAATCACAATCATATAATAAAGTTCTTGGAACGAAACGAGGCAACCTTCGTTCACAGAAAGTCTTTGGCAGCACACAATCGAATGGTGATGTTGAACCGTTGGTGCAACGACAAAATAAAGAAAATCGCTATTCGTCAGTTATTCGAAATAGTCGACCGCGACCACAAAACGATGGACTTGATAAATTACCAGAAGTTGAAGGTGGCGGTTTGATGCGTGAAAGACCACAATACACAACAATTACACGCACGCAAGCGCCAAAATCACAACAAGAGTCTGAGGACGAAGAAAATGAAAATAATAACCGATTTTCGGTTACACAATCATCGAATGGTGAAGCTTTTGAAGAGGATGACAACGGTCCAACAACACATCAACCAGTTTATAATTATGTAAACATTCAACGAGCCAGGCCATCAAGCACCGCCGCACCGGTCGAAGATGAGGAGAGTGGAAATGAAAGCGATGACGAAGCCGACGATGAAGATGAAGATGAAGAAGTAATGTCGGTTTCAGTAAATCCAACGACAACGTCTAAAATGCATTATGTTAACATTCAGCGGATTCGACCCACCAAACAACACTACATTTCGGATGAAATTGAAAGCGAAACTCCCGTTCCAGAAACAAAGTAAGATTTGTTTTTGTTGATCTTTTAAAACGAGTACTTATTTAAATGATTGAATTCTTAGATACAAAGCGGTGAGCCGAAAGCGTCCAACAACCACTCAAATCAGCATCATTGAACAGGATGACGAGAAATTGGGTGCCAATCGATATTCATCACCAACAACAACAGCATCATCAACAACGGTAGAAAGCGTAAATAATCATTTTACAAACACACCTGAAACATCAACACGATTTTATGGCAGTTTAAATCGCCGTACAACTACAATACAAACAGAACAATATTCCACCACACCACAAACATCATCATCGTCATATGACAATCCTAATCCTAGCACGACAACAACACCACCACAAACAACAACATACAAATTGACCACCAACATTAACACAAACGATAACACAAACACACATGATTCACAATACACAACCCAATTAAATGATTTAGGCATTGAACTAACGGTCAGTACATTGCAACCAAATGCCGTTGACAATTCAAACGTATACACAACTACAGACGATGGTAGTTTGGTTCAATTGTCCGATTTAATACCACAAAAATCATTTGACACCACAAATAGCCAAGACAAAAAGACTGACAACATTCTACTAACCCCACAGACTAATCAACCCGATTTAATCAATACAAAGTATTCCCAATCGTCCAAAAATTCAGACAGTAACAGTCGCGTAACGACTGAACAAGATGAACATTTGTTAGGTTCAAAATTGACAACGACTATTTTACCGACCGAAAATCCATCTAGTCCTACTGTCACTCCAAGTTCTTTTGTATTTGAACAACATCAAAATGAATACACTACCACGCAAAGTAATCAAATTGAAAGTTCGTCGTCGTTGTCTATGTTTAAGCCAACGTATGGTGGTGGCATTTCAAGTCCACGACCATTTTCGTTTTCAAAACGTACGCGTCCCACAACAACCACCACCACCAGCACAACCACCGAATTACCGTCACCGAATGTCGAACATGCTTCGCAAACGAATGACTCAAACAAGGTGAGTGTCGCAAGCAATCAAAACGACGACAATGACAGCAATTATGTCATTGGTGAGAATTTACTCACACATGAATTAAATGGTATACAGGTAAGTGGCGCAGATGCAAATGCAAATGCAGCATTGAATGTTACCCTTTACTCGATTGCAAAGGCGACAGATGATAATGATGAACATACAAATGTTGTGACAACCAATGACATCACTACTCAATCTGATTTTGATAATCTATCTTCTAATACTTCTCAAGCTTCTTCTTCTTCTTCCACTTCCACTGTCTCTTCTATTGTAAATAGTTCAACTGCTTCTGCAAATAGTCGATTTAGATACAAAACTCGTGTAAATACGCAACAAACAACCGAACAATCAATTTTAGCCACACGACGTACGGTAGTTAATCGTCGCATTCGTACACGTCCGACGGCTCGACATTTGAATGCCGAACAAAATCCAACGAATCCGATTTTAGACGACGACAGTGTTCGTCATGTTACTTATAATATTGCACGCCAAAATGTGCAACAAACACATACTGAAATCGAAACGAATGATGAAAATGAATATAAGCCCGAATATGATGATCGAACAAATGTTATTCGACAAAACCCGGCACTTCGTCGGTTTCGACCGAAATTGAGTGATTTATTACAAGAGACATCGAACGGCTTGCCAGCGATTGCACACAATCCTGATCAAGGTGATCGTGTCTATCGACCAGATCAATTGGGCAGTGACTTCAGTTCATTGACTTCCATCGATCTTAATCGTAAGCAAAGTTCGTCGCAACAAACGTATCGATCACGGAATTCAAGACGTCGGACAACTAAACCGACGCCTGAAGTTATTCCTGATGACGAAAGACCCGAAGAAATTATTGAACAAGAAGTGCAATCAGTAACACCTCGAACTGCAAGAACACGAGTTGTCAATCGGTTCAGTTCATTGAGAGGTCGCACTCGCGTTTCGAGCAAAGAAGATTCAGTTGTTGAACAAAGTAATAATGTACCATTTGTGGATACTGTTGCTGATGTTACAGAGTCTGATGCACAACCAACGGTTGTGCCATTGGCTCGTAAAATCAATCTCGATACATCATTTAAAAATCGCTTGAATGCCGTGGAAAAACGTAAAAAACAATTTGGTCAAAAATCAGTGGCTGATGGTGGTGATTCACCAATCATTTTCTTACATCCACGTCGATATTCGACAAAAACCCCACCCATTGATTTCAATGCATTAAATATGGATTTGAATGCAAAATTCATACCAAATGCGAATGTTGATTTAAATGAAAAGGTCGATGGTAAACTCAATGTCAATCTCACGCCTCAAAATAACGAATTACCAGTCACAACTGAGTCATTGAATACTTTAATTGGCAATAATGAAGATCAGACTTCGCATATTTTAGAAGCAATTGAAGAAAGTACAAGCGAAGAGGAACAATATGGAACGAGTCGTTTATTCAGACAAAAAGTTGAAGAAATTCAAGGAATTATCGACAGTTTTAAATCAACTGAAATTTCATTGGCAACCGAAACGACTACAACATCACCGAGAGTGGGTTTCGAAAATGGTGAGAACTTGTTGAAATTTGCAAATGCAATAGGCGCTTTGAATGATGACGTAAGTACCAAAGTACCACTTGCCGTTGAAGCCACTACCGTCGATGAAGAAAACCTCGAGACGACAACAAATGGGGTCAATGCAGCAAATTCATTGGATATTGAATTGACGGTAAATTCATTGGGAAGTTCGACTGAAAATATTCAATTTTCCACCGAAGAAAATCGCTCAAGTACTGAGGAGGCAATTAATGAAAGCACTTCGTTGCCAACAGTAAGTCGAAATACGGTCAGTCAAAGAAGAAGACCTGCATACAGACGAACAACTGAAGCACCAGTTGAGATCAGTTCATCCACAGAAAATGAACGACGCCGCTTGCAATCAAGAAGACGTTTCACTTCAACCACTACCGAAGAAAATTCGGTGCCAAATGATGGGGTTGCAAGCTCAACGGCAAGAACACGTCAACAGGTATATCGGGGACGTGTAAGAGGTTCAGCAAATACAATTAGCCGTTATTCGAAACGAAAAGAAATTGAAAATGAAGAAAATGTTGTCTTCTCGACTGCAGTCCCATTGGCTGCATTCCCAACCACAGAAACAAGTGGCTTTAGCTCAGAAAGTCCAAATAATTTGGCAAATGCTATTAACAATTTAGATATTGAATTAACCTCAGAGATCGGTTCCACCGAAAGCACTCGATTGGAGAGCGATGAGGCAAGTGTCGAACTGTTACCGAGTGAAAAATCAAATGAAAGTTCATCGTTAGCGAATGTTGAAATTGTTACTGAAGCTGGTGAAATTAAATTCAATTTGAATATCAATTCGGCTGAAATAACCGAAAGCTCAGTTGAGCAAACCATTTTCAATCTTCCCAGCGAGGATTTGCTACCACCGGTTAGCGAAAATTCTTCCGATGAAATTCCAATCAGTAGCACGGAAACTGTGCAAAGTACCGAGTCAAGTAGTACAACTGAAGTGAATCAATCACAACGAAATGTGGTAATTAGACGACGACCAGCAAATAGACAGAGAGTAATTGAAAGTAATTCGGCTGTAATTCAAACAATTAGCGAAAGTGGAAATGAACATTCAGACAATGTCGATGTGATAAGGAATGATGAACGACGTCGTAAAATTTTCCGCGGCAGAGTTCGTGCTCAAACGGCTATTAATGCGGAAAATACAGAAACTGAACATAAAAATACGAACTTTGAGCCAAGACGTCGCCGTATTCAAGGCAGACCAACAAGCACGGAAGCTACAGTCGATGAAAATGTTTCACATTCGGAAAATGAGCAAAGCGAACAAAATGCTGGCATTCAAATTACACGACAACGACGACCATTAGCTGGTCGACGATTCAAATCCACAACGACTGAAGCGTCTGAATTGAATGAAAATGATGAACACGTTGAATTGAATCAACAAGAAGGTCAAGAAAAGCATGGAAACACTTTGACATCACGTCAACGCGTTCAATTTTCAAGAACACGTTTCTCTACCACCACCACTGAAGCATCAAATTTAGAGGAAAATATTCAATCAGAAAATGTTGAAGAGAATCAACAAGAAAATCAGGAGAAACAAGAGAACACTTTTAAATCACGTCAACGTGTTCGATTTTCAAGAAGACGTTTTACGACTACCGAAGCATCCAATTTGAATGATAATGAATCGGAAAATGTAGAAAATGCTTCCGAAGAAATTCATCAAACTGATACAACACGTCAACGTCTACCATTTGCGCGGCGAAGATTTTCAACAAGCACCGCCGGACCAGAAGCAAATATTGAACAAGAGAATGTTGAAGATGGTGTCAGTCATGAGGTAAATTCGATTCGGCAAAGCACAAATGTGAGTGAGGAAAATGATGGTCAAGTGAATGTGCAAAGAAATCGATTCGATGCTCAACGCCGACCAAATTACCAAAGAGCAAGATCGACCACTGAATCAACGGTAGGCAATGATGAAAATGCGAATGAAAGCGTGAATGGTAATGAAGGTGACGTTGAAAATCAAAGTCAAAATATTCGCGTTCGATTTCCAATTGTTCGGAAGCGCCCATACGGCCAAAGAGCGCAAACATCCACTCAATCGGCTGAGGTGATAACCGAAAATGATGGTGAAACCATCGAAGGAAACTTGAACAATGACAATGAAAATGCCGAAGAAAATGTGAATACCAAAAATGAAAATCAACGTCAACGAACTCGAATTTCATTTCCAGTTATTCGGAGACGTCCATTCAGCCAACGAGGTCGTACATCGACTGAAAATGTCGAAGGAGTAAATGAAAGCACTAATTTTGAAGAGAATGTACGCGATGAAAATGAGAATGCCGAAGAAGCGTTCAATACAGATAAAGAAAATCGAAGTAACCGCGTCCGAATTACCGATTATCGACGACGACAGTTTGCATCCAGAACACGTGTCGAATCAGGTAAAAACGTAGAAGAAAGCGAAAATCACAACGAAAATGCTGAAGAAAACACAAATAATGATAGTGAAAATACACGCGCCCGAATTCCGGCCCTTCGTCGCCGTCCATTCCCTTCAAGAACAAAGCTCACAACTGAAACAGCAAATGAAAATGGCGAAGAAGCTCAAACTAACGAAGAAAATTCGGATAGTTCAGAGCAAACAAGTGCGTTAAATTCATTTTCACAAACGAAATCAAGCGGTTTTCGACGACCATTTGGTCGAACTCGACTAACAACCACTGAACAATCGTCCGAAAATCATGAATTGAAACAGGAGCAAGAACAAGAACAGGTAAATGAAGAAATCAATGATGAACTGACACCACGATCACGTCCAACATACAAAAGGAAAAAGATTACATCGTTCAAAGCGATAAATGTAGAAGAAAGCTTGGCCCGTACAGCGTCGGGTGGAAAAATTCGGTTTGGCACAAAACCAGTTGAAACTGTTGAAGACACGCCCGCCGAAGAAAAGGAAATTGAAAGCACAAAAGTGCAAGTTAATGTTTCAGAACGGCAAAAAGCGAATCGCAAATTGTATGCAAGAACCACCACGACCACCACTACAACAACGCCGGCGCCAGAGGATGTTGCCATTGAAGAGAATGTAACTGAATTTAATCAAGATACAAATGAATTTGGTGTAACAGAAGCAGGCGAAGAAGGTGTCACACAAGTGGATTTTGAAGCACATGATATTGAATCGGGTACTTTGAGCGATTTGATTGCAAGTACAGAAGTTTATACTGAATATTTGAACGAATTTGGAAGAGCATTGTCAACTGAAAGCTCAAATGAGGAAAATTCAACTGATAATCAACAGGGTAAGTCGAATTTGGAGGAAGAATATGAATTAAGCATTAAAACAGTTTCAGAATCCAAAGGCAAATCTGAAGTTGACTCAAAGTCGGAAGTAAATTCCGAAAAATCTGAGTCGAATTCAGAAATAAATGTTGAATCAAATGCTCAAGCTGACGCAAAACCAACGGTACAAAGGACTGATGCGTCGAACGCAGCACTCAAAAATTTGAACATTCAAAGACGCAGAAAGAAGTTGCGTAAGATACCATCATCCACGGCCGCGCCAGAAGAAGTGCCAGAGACGGCAAGTGTTGAAACCACTCCGGAACGAAAATCCTTTATTGGAGCCAGGAGCCGTGAGAGAGTGAAAGCTTTTGTACCACCCGGTTTGCGTTCAAGCCGCAAACAATTGATCCAAAGAAAAGAAGAAGTTAAGAATAGTCTCGATTCAAAAGAAGAAACTGAAGAGTCTGTCGATCAAATCGATGGTGAGGTCGAAAGACGGCCACGACCAATTTATTCACCGAAATTAATACGAGGTCGTACTTCGGCTCGGCCAAAATTCAGTCTAAAATCGACGACTGAAAATTTAGAAGATGAACAAGATTCATCAGTTACACGTCGTACATTCACTCGTAAATATACAAAAGTATTCAAATTGCCCAAAAGTCCAAATGACGATGACACAAATCAATTCCAAGACAATGTTGAAAATGATGAAAATCAGAGCGAAGAAACCGATAGTCAAGAAAATCAAAATGAGGAAAATGACGATGCTCAACCTCAGTTGAAATTCCGTCCAAAAGGTTATAGCGGTAATAGTCTTTCAAAGAATACGGTAAATAATAATAATAATGATGGTAATATCCATCCGGCATCGTTGCGACCGTTTGTAAAACGGCCGACACAAAGTCCTGAGCCGACAGTAGTGTTAGATGGTATCAATGTGAACGCACTTAATGTTCGTAATCGTAATTTGTTCAATAAAAATAGTAAAAAACACGGTGAAATTTTGAAAACGACCCATGATCACCATCACCACCAAATTCAATCATCACAGTTAAATACTAACACCGATCTAGATGATCAACATACATTCACTGATTCACCAATTTCCGAATTGGAATTGCCACACACAGAAAACCCATCATACGATCAACAACAATTAACTATTGTCACCGAACGTGATGATAATGATAATTTTGTTGATTCTAACACAAACACACTAACTGACAATAATAATAATAATAATATTGAAGCCACCACAACCATTTATACATCCATAAATGCCATAAATGAAAAAGACGATGAATTTTCATCATCGACTGATCATGATGATGATGATGATATCAACAACATTCCCACTGAACATAATATGAATTCAATAAATTTAGTAGATAACTTACAGGAATCGGCAACCATCAAACCAATTCGAAAGTACTCAAAATCAACAACGGTCACACCGACCACCATCAAACCAACAACGTATCATCATGTATTTGCTATTGACTACGATGAAAATCCATTAGAATCGAAACGAAATCAAACGCCAAACGAAATTGGTCACGATGATCCGAATGCGTCAGTGATTTCGAAAAAAGTGGAAAAATTGGCCGAAGTAAATCGAATTGTTGAAGTGTATTCGCAACAGCGAAGACAAACTATTCAACGCAGTTCGAATGGAAAACAAAAATCTCAAACATCAAATTTAATCATTGAACGTTTGCCCACCGTAAATAAGCTTGGCGAAATAAACCGGGTGACATTGATTAAATTGGTCGATCATCAAAATGATACAAAACCAACGGCCAAAGAGTTTATCACATTTTTAACGACAACGGCACGGCCGGCCATCGACGACGATGACACCGAAACGGTTAAAAAAGAGAAAAAATCACGGCAAATCTTCTTGCCCGATAGCATATTCAGTGTCGAAACATCGACCATTCCATTAGAAGGCCTATTTCAAACGGATCGAAATGGCAAACGGCTAAATATTGTCTATGCAACGACAGCTGACGATTCGAATTTACAAAGTAGTCCAAGTTCAGTATTTATACCTCAAACCACAACCGATACACCATTCGCACAAACCACTGTCGTTGCAAACGGTGCGAATGATGAATTTGGCGATACAACCGCCGATTCGGTTAATGATATTCATGTTGTAAATGTCAAACAATCAAATGCAATACCAAACGATTCAGCAACACCATTAGTCATTTCACTATCGAATTTGGATAGTGTTCAGCTTCTAAGTCCATTATCGTCAACAAAACAAAATGCAACAACAAAACTCACCAAAGCAAATGCATACGATGGTGCGGTTGCTTCCTCCGGGAAGGTAAGCCAAATTATTGATGCACCGCATGTAGTAGTTGAACACAGCACTGTAGATAACATAGTTGAGTTGTCCGGTTCGCCTGTTGTTAACACACATACCAGTTACAGCAGCGAAATAACCCAAACAAAAGTCAAATTGTCACAACTAAAACCATCAAATGCACCAAGTAGCGATACTGATGACAAGTCTGAGGTTAGTCACTCGTAAATGCAAAAAAAAATTTGAGTTGAGATAATACAAACAAACAAAAAAACAACTCCATCTCCTTCACGAAAAGAAAAGAAAGAATAATAATGATGCTTTTCAATTTCGTTGGTGCGACACTTTTTGAAGTGTCTTGTATCCACACCTCATTCTTAGAGTATTATGGGCATTGTTTTATTTAAATGAAAACAAAATAATTTTAATAATTTCAACAAATCAAAATCAATCATCATTTTTGTTGTTTAAAACATATTGTTCGGTTGTTGTCTTTTATTTAAATTAGATTGGAATGTAGTGCATTCATGTAGCAAGGTTTTGGATCACATTTTTGGTGTATATATTTATTTTCATATACTATCAATTAATTTTGATGCATATTTCGTGAATGGTTTTCGATGTAGTTCCGCATATCGAACAAACATGTAGACGACGTGCGGCGGTAGAATTTGATTAATTATTCACTCTGTACTCGTTTCTGTACAGAGAAGTGGGCTTAATGGATGGACTTTTTTATATTGTAGATTTGAATTTTTATTTCTTTTGACTTTATTTGACACGTTCGTTTTTTTTTTTTAATTCAACACATTCATCAGCAAAAATGACCGCATTCATGACCAATCAAGACGATTCGACTTTATTCACTAATCAAAACACACAAACATGTTGTACATAACACCCGATACAAATGCACTAATATATATAATGAACAACAAAGTATAAATTCAGTCAAACACACACTCTTACCGGGGTGTTAATGAATTTTTAACGACATTAAATTTTAGTCAATTTAAGTTTTTGGTGTCATTACATGAAATTGATAAACTTTCTTCTTGCCTAATAATTGCATAAGCGCCGTACATTAGCATAATGTACAAATTTCGATTGAATTACGCGAAGTAAAATATAAAACAACGTTTTTGGTGTAGTGGAATGTTACAGCGCTAATTCTTGACTGTAAACACAACGGAAATGCAGCTATTTTCATTGGCCATGTAAAATTATATAGTTTTAGTTATTATTAGAGCAATCCAAAAGAGACGCTTCATCGAAGCCGATAGCGTATAACAATTTAAAGGGTATTCAAATCGACGACACAATCAACATGATAATCCCATTCAATAAATCGATATTATTCATGATGTTAACCATAGAGTATGGAACAGAAACATTATTTTGATTGTCGTCGACATGCATAGCAACTATTATTATTATAAAACGATGATTATGTTTTTAAATTATCAGTCATTTTTAGTTAAACAACATATTTTATGAAGTAGTTATTAGCATTTAAGCTCTTTTCAGTCAAACGCATTTTATTTTTACACTGATTATTTCGGGCATGCATAAATAAAAACCTCTAAGGAATTTCCTGTAGACTATGGGTGAACTGAACATACACATCAGTAATTTTTGAAAAAACGTTATACTTGCCTTTGATATCAACCGCAACTTGAACAACAACAACCAAAAAACTCGTACTTCTTTCTTTTGTTATTAATAAATACGCATTGTAACCATCATCAATCGGACGAATTTAACGAACCGGTTATACACATTACATGCATAACTTGATGACATCTTTTTTTTTGCCGGTAACGATTTTCGTCGATGCGTTCCTCCCTGTGGATATACAAGCTATAAATAAATATCGCATTTGAGTCATGCCCAAAATATTTCGCGGCGCCGATTTTTTTTTTTTTTTTTTTTTTTTTTTGAGTGTCGAGACTCTTGAAAGATCTGGTCTGAAATTTAACAAGAAGAACAAAAAAAAAATACGAAATGGCATGTAAAAATGAAAAAGCACGCAAATATCAAAGTTCAACTGATACTTTATTGAATTTAAAATAATAATAAAATACTTTGTAATGCGTAACATTTTTTTTCTCTCTCCTGAAATGTGATGTATTTTGAATAAATTCCAATTTTTATCAATATAATTGAATGTAATAAAAAAGTGGCAAAAATTACAAAATATCACTTGAGGCGTCAGTGCGCGCCGTCTCAAAGTCAATCGCCCAAAGCTCCATGCATACCGAAATATATGATATAAATATATGGTGCGTCCATAGGCACATGATGCGTGTTGCGCGGCATGTGGTTGGTCATCTTCCAATTAAGTGATGATCACAAGGCGCGCGAGAGAGAGAGAAATCGGCATAATAAATTATTGGTCAATTTCAAGTTTTTGCCTATGTTCGTCGTCATTTATCGCGCATACTTAAACGGCAAATATCGATACTTTCGGTTTCATTATGTAAATTCTTTTTTACTCAGACAAAGTTTTTTTTTTCGTATTTTGTAAATGCCAAACGATCATGGTGATTCTTTCGACCGTCATTGGTCACTTATTTAAGAGCAGGAAATCGATATTTCGACAGATTGTCATTTATCACGAACCTTCGATATTTCTTGATTCGTTGACAATGATTTATTGGTCAGGCAATATGTAAAATGTCATCAATAGTATCATAACGATGGTGTAGATTTCGTCTCCTTGACATTTTACTTGATTTGCATACATGCTAAAACACGATATACACGACATTTTTGAAAACCTTACCGCAGCCGTACCAAAGCGAAAAACAAACAACAAATAGCTCACATATCAATTTCAAATAAGATACACATCGCTTAAGATGGTTACGGATGAGCATCACATTCCGCGTGTATTCGCTTTCATTCCACGCAACCATTTTCAATATCGATATAATGCCACAAATTCGATATGACAGCAGGTGAATCTCTTCAAGTGGATTATATAATCTTCAGTTGATTTATAAAAATATAAATATATACGCTTGTCTTACATCGAGAGTGACATGAAGAGATAGAGAAAAAAGCCCCCTATAATTTATTCAAATACCATCCAGTCAGACTAATTGATGAGAGAAGATTTCACTCTTTTGTATTCATCACATTGAATGACATAGTAAACTGACTAGTTTCCGTTTTAATACATTCAAATTTAAATCAGTTTTATAAAAGAAATCTTTTGTTTCGCTAATTAAATGCAAAAATGGCTGGCCAAATATGAAATCAAAATATATTCGCCTACAGAATGAGACATGACGAGGACAAACGTTAAACGCAAAACAATAAACGAAATTTAAATAAACACTAAAAAAATTCAGATCTTCCAATACTTTTCGAATGATCACAATCCGATATCGTGTCGTTATGTAAACGGACAGAAAAGATCAGATAAAAAACGCCTGTATAAATTTAAACGCCACATTCTCAGTCGACATGTTTTCATTATCACCATGTTTTACCGAATATGGCCCTCTCAGATTCTGTTTTTTTTTATTATTTCCTTCTCTTTTAATGGAAAACATTTTTTAACGACTGACAACCTAAAATGTGGCCTGAAATGTGAAAATTGGGCATGAACACAGACAAAGGTGAAACATTCGAAAACGAAAGTAAAATGTTGATTATGGTTTTTCTGCGATATTTTAATTGATAGCATTCCAAGAAGTTTCGTTTTTTTCGCGCAAAAATGAGCGGTAAGCCAATATTGGCACGCAATTTGCACAGTGCGTTGCAACAACGGCAAGATTCAAGACTTTTACTTTTGAATTTTTTAGAAGAAAGACAATACACAATATCTTTTTCAAAAATGATTTTGAAATGCGGTTTTTTAAATTTCGAAAGAACAAGTGTCAACCACATTTTGGTAGTAGTTTTAGTTTAGTTTTTTGTAGTTTTACTATCGATTTAATATTTTAAGCTTTTCTTCTCTAATTAATGTTTGTTTTGAATTCATAATTTAATATCGCACAATTAACAAAAATTAGTCAATTTGATTCACATTGTGTCGATGTCATTTAACTCAATTCAAAATTCCTCTAACTAACAAATGGGGTGGTATGAAATCATCGTCGCTAAAAAAAACGAACTAGCAATCAAGTAGACTAAAACGCCATTCGTGAAAACAATTTTAGAAAAAGAACGCAAAAAAACACACACAAAACAAAGCAGAAATTCTTTATTGAGTAACAAAAATATTTGAATGAAAAAAAAAAAATTGTGTAGCACAAATTTAATGGGAAAACACTTGAAAAATCAGCAAAAGCACCACAAAAACTGTTGTTATTTTTGTTCTTTTTTTATAGGTTCGTCCACAATATCGTCCAGGATTCCGTCGTCCAACGATCACAGTGTCGAAAAAATCGAAACCAACGCAATCAAATGATATCACCGACACGACTGAATCATCGTTTTCGGTTACAACGCGCAAGAGCTTGAACAATAACAATCCATACGTGCGAAGAAGATCGCGACCAACTTATATCCCCACAACATCGCACACAACAGTCGCTGCAATCGCTTCAACGGTTGCAAATCGAAACAACGATACGATCGTTAACAAAATTCTTCAACGCAGAAAGTTTGGGCGCCCATCATCAGCACCAGTTTCTGTTGACGCTGCTGGAACGGTAACGAACACCGCAAGCGAAAGGAAACGTGTGACACAAACAAAAACTCGCCCAACAACCGAATCAGGTAAGTCGAACGAATGTTTCTTTTCTTCTTTGGCGTTGTGCATTTTTTTTTCGTCGTGAGCACATTAATATGGTAATTAAACGGTCAATTTGATTCGATAAAATCATTATTGCTGCAATGTTTATCGCCAAATTTATGCGAATTTTAAACTCACGTTTTGAAAAATTGACTGCCGTTAATATATGGATATTAACACGAAATCGTTATTTTTGGAATTTTTCTTCCGTATTTACGATATGAATATATTCAAATAAATGATTTACCGAATAAATCGATTTAAATCGAATTTTTTGCATCTTCTCTAGCTGCAACTGTAGAAAATTTACGACGAACACAAAATCCATATTTCCGCCGACGCTACGCCTATACATCGACAACAAAATCACCAAAGACAACAACAATTGAACCAGAAACGATTTCGGTGTCTGGCATCGGTACGGCACGTCATTCATCGGATCAAGAGCATGAACCAAGCATTGTTGATCGAAAATTTTCGCAAAGTAATCAAATCGATTTGGGCACCGAAATTATAAGCCAAGGTTTGGGTGAAGCTATCACATCAATTTCACGTGCACCATTACCATTCGTTGCATCCACAACGGTACGTAATGTAAAAATTACAACACCCGGAGCAATTAAATATAATAACGATGATTCCGATTATCAAATATCGAAACGAGCTGATTCACCACCGAATAGATGTGAGTATATTACAAAATCATCAAAGTCATTAGACGAAGATTATAATTGAAATAAAAACTCATTAAAAAATAGCAATAAAACCATTGGAGCGTCAACATCTTTCATCGACTGTTGGACCCGACCTACTGTTACCGCACAGTGAAATTCACGACAGTCAAGCACGGCCATCGCGGGATTTTAAACGCACCGAAAAAGTCATTCGAACATTTAGCCGAATTAATTTGAACTCCGATCCGAGTGCAAAGGTATCTGCATCATTGAAAGATAAACCGAAGAAAATTGCATATCGTCCGGTGAACGAATATGATTATTATGACGATGGAGATAGCATCATTGGCAAATCCACATCCAAAGTAATTATCTTTTTCAAACGGAAATTAAAATGTCGACTTTTTTTAAACACATTTTCCGCTTTTTCATAAAATGAAATTTAGGTGAAAGTCATTTTACATGATGCCGGTATAATTGAGTGCTTAGATCAAGGCAATTTTCCGCATCCACTATCATGTCGAAAATTCATATCCTGTGCGAAAATGGAAATTGGAGGCGTGGTCGGGTGGGAATATACATGTCCGAAGGGACTGAGCTATGATCCCGTCGGTGGTATATGCAATTGGGCGGCTGGGTTAGGATGCAAAGAGTGAGAGAAATCGAAAGTGCATATAGCATCAAATTTGTTTCAAAACACACAGTCATCATCCTCCAATTGAATTAAGTCATAGACGAATATACACATAAAAGAAGACAAATTGACAAAACTAGATTACGAGCCATCTGAAAATTGGATTTACATGATATTTGACTCGCTTTTCATGTTTAAAATGAGGAACAACTCCAATTTTGTTAAACAAAAACACTTGGACACTTTTTTCATTTCGCAATTATCTAAAAGATTAATTTGCGCAAAGCTTAAATCCACAAAGAACATGAATTCTTTGATGCCATCTGTTAACTTTTTAAAAGATATCGTCTTCGTGTGTTTTTCGATTTTTCGCTCATTTGAAAAGAAATGCAATGCAAAATCAAACGAAATATCATCCATATACCTTTTTTTACGTTGCTCGTCGCCTAGTTCTTTCTTGTGTGTATTTAGAGATAGAAAAACATTGTTGTTAACATTTTCAAAAAAAAACTTGTTCTTAAGATTTCAATATTAAATTTTAATTTTTCTACTATTTACTTCTACGAGCCCAATCTCAACTTCGTTCTGTTGTACTCTCTATTAGAGATATATACAAATCATACAATGTTAGTTTATAAGTATTTAAATATTTGAGAGTAGACGTTAGCAATATCATTAGGTCGTTATTTAAGATTTACGCAAATTTTTTCAATCAAAGCGATTATTTTTTCTGTGAATGATTGCTTTCTGGAGTCAACAAAAACCTGAAACGTATACGAATAAAACAAAAATTGGTTTGCGTTTTTTTTTCTGCTTATGAAACTTAATGTCGGAAAATTTTCTCGGTTCCGACGACAAGGCTGAAATTCATTTCTTCAAAATCACTATCATTTAGATATCAATATTATTCGGAGAGAAGGAAGAAAAAATTCTCAATTTATTAATAATTTAGTAACAATTGTATGAATTTAGGCGCGATCGCGTGTATCATATTTAATATTTTTTTTAAATGATGAAATTACAAATAGTTAAGAGAACCAATCGTATGTGGCATTTTAAGAGATAAAATAAATGTGAAAAAATTGATAGTGTAAAATAGTTGTTGTTTTTTTTATTTGCATTATCTTTCAATTCCTTATTACAGGCTGTTAATGGTGTATCAAAATATAATACGGATATAAACAGAGAACATTATTTCAATATGATATCACTATAAGCATGATTGCGTGACTAGGTAGTAAAATCTATTGTAAACATGATGATAATAATTTAGAATGTAGAGTAACTTAAGCTTTGCCTTCCAGTTAGTTCACTAAATGAAGTGTTTTGAAAAAGTCTCAATAATTTTGAAAAAAAAAAAAAAAAAAAATCGTTAAAACTTCACAAAATGTGTTGCTCCAGTCAAAGCATACTTTCGCCACAATGTGCAGCACAAAGTGTTGGCACAGCAAATCAACTTTTTGCTTCGTTAGTACAAACGATCTTAGCTGCCCACTGTTCAATTTCGCCGCCTGAAATGTGGCCGCCAGACTATGGACCGAAGGCCATAGAAAACGGTTTGGATGACGATTTTAGTTTTATTGTAATCGGTGCAGGTTCAGCAGGTAAGAGGCATATGTTACACACCATTGTTAAACATACATTTATACTTATGTGTTTCAATAAAGGTTCGGTTCTTGCAAGTCGCTTGAGTGAAAATCCAAATTGGAAAGTTTTATTATTGGAAGCGGGAGGTGATCCACCAATTGAATCTGAAATTCCAGGAATGTCATTTTCACTTCAAAAAACCCGTGTCGATTGGCAATTCAATGGAATTTCAAAAACTGCATGCAAAGCTATGGTCGATGGGTGTTACTGGCCACGCGGTAAGGTTTTAGGTGGATCGTCAACTATAAATTCAATGGAATATGTTCGTGGTATCGCCAAGGATTATGATTATTGGGCGGAGCTTGGAAATTTCGGATGGGATTTTGAAAGTGTTTTACCATTTTTCAAGAAATCAGAAAATCAGCAACAAAAAACATTCGTTGAATATGAAAATGGTCGGTATCACAGTAACAAAGGGCCGATGAAGGTGGATTTTCTTGGCCCAATAGGCGATATTGAAAAAATATTCATTGCAGCAGCCAATGAAAGTGGAATTCCATTTGTAGATGATATTAATGCTGATAAGCATCATGGATTTATAAGTATGCAAGGAACAATTGCAGACGCGCGAAGACAAAGTACGGCAAAAGCATTCTTAATGCCAGCAAAAAATCGACGTAATTTAAAAATTATCAAACATGCTTTTGTCGAGAAAATTCTTATTGATGAAAATAAACGAGCTTATGGTGTGCAATTCGTAGTTGGTGAAAATTGCAAAACGTGTGGAAATTGTAAAAATCGAATGATAGCTCGTGCACAAAAAGAAGTTATTCTATCAGCTGGCGCTGTGATGAGTCCCATTTTGTTGATGTTATCTGGTGTCGGACCGGCTAACGAGCTCGCAAACCGGAGCATTCCGGTTAAAAGTGATTTGATTGGAGTTGGACAAAATTTATTCGATCACATTTATGCTTTGTTGATATTTAAATTTGATGCAGTTCCTTCATCACCAACAGATTCACTTGATTATTTATACCAATTTTTGACAAAAAACGCAGGACCATACGCTCTTCCCACACAAATGGCTGCATTTTTAAGCACTACAAACGACACATCCACTCCCGACATTGAGTTATATGTTTACTTTTTTCCACCGAATTCACCAGATTTTGCAAATCTAATCGAACTAATGAATTATCAACCGGAAATTAAACAGCATTTGTATGAAACAAACGCAAAATTTAGTATGGGTATTGTTCTCCCCGTTCTATTGCATCCCAAGTCTAGTGGTTTTGTCAAATTGAATGGAACTTGTGCTCATAATAAACCGAAAATCTTTCCCAATTATTTTAAACATCAAGACGATATCGATAGACTTGTTGTATCGATAAAACAACAAGTTGCATTCACTTCGACAAAGGCATATCAATCATTTGGAGGCGAATATTTAAGGTTGCCGATTCCAAAATGTGATCAATTAACGTACGAAAGTGACGAATATTGGCGGTGTTATATTAGTTACATGAGCATGAGTGACTATCATGGTGTTGGCACATGCAAAATGGGACCGATTACTGATCGCTCCGCTGTTGTGGATGCAAGGCTGAATGTATACAATATTTCGAGCTTGAGAGTTGTCGATGCATCAATGTATGTTTTGATGTCAATCGATAAGTGTTAAACAATTTTCAATGGGTAACAATTTTTTTTATTTTTAGATTTCCATACACAGTTTCTGGTAACACAAATGCCGCTAGCATTATGGTCGGCGAAAAGGGTGCAGATATGATTAAAGAAGATTATTTGTTGTAAATGTCCATGAAATGAGAAAATATATTTTTTCGCTGAACTAAAAGATAAGATAGTTTTTTATTGATCACCTTTTTTATGTCAACAATATGTGCTAATTAAATATATAAAAGCCATTCCCCACTTTGCTGATACTAGTAAACTAAGATATAATAGTTTGTAATCCAAGAATCGAATAATCGATTCATATTTTAAATACATTTGGTTTGTGGTGTGTTTCTGTGATGTACGTGCCAAATTGAAAAAGTACAATGCTACTGCTTGAGCTTTGTAAAAATATTTTGTGTCCATAACCGTATAATTTCAATTGGCTGAATTTTTTATCAAGCCAAATATGCAATCGCAATATATTTTAAAGTAAAGTGAATTTCCTGTGCACTAGATAACATATGCCAATAATTGGCGAACAAATTTTTTTACACATTACTGATATATGCATATTGTTTTTAGAAGAATGTAAGCCTTCAAGTTGAATTATTCATTGAATTATTGTTTTGAACATCATATAGTATTTTATTATTGTGTTTATTGTCTGAAAAACAAATCAATGAAAAAAATTAGATTTTTCTGAATTAAAAAAAAAAAATGTTTATTGACCTTGGCAAATGTGTCCAAATCCAAACGAGTCAGCCCAAAACCGGTAAAAAACAGTGGTTGTTGAACATTTCCACTCATAAATAAAAAAGATTTTTGCAATTTAATCGGAAGTTTATACCAATTGGTTTGATACAAACAATCGGACATTTTTTGGAAACTTTCGTTGCCCAATTTCCCGAAGTAACAAAATAAAAACAACGTTGCTAGAGCTGACAAAAAGGCCAATATTAGGGTACAGATATTCGAATCAATATGTCTTAGATGCTGAAATAAAATTGAATTGAATATGTCGTGTTCTTATTCTAACCCAATAAATGTATATAAGAGTTGAAAACTTAGTTGAAATTACCATATCCAAATGAAAAATCACAGAAGAAAGATAGACTATTACGTAAATAAATAGAAATATTATGAAACGGGAGAAAATATCTGCTGAAACCAAAAACAAACTGAAAAATTGAAAAAATATATATAGTAGACATTTCAAAGAATTGATGTCACATTTTCAAAGGTCGAAAGCCGATTATCATAAAATAAATTACCACATACTTCTTGACTAAAATATGAAAATCAATTAATTGTCGAAGAGCTTGCTTTTTATCGGTAGATTCCAATTTTTTGGAAAAATCTTCGAACATTTTACGGAATGCTTGAAGATGTAAACATATCGAAACAAAGAATAACAAAAGGATACCAACGAAATATATGTAACATTCTGCCATAGTAATTTGCAAACATGTCTCCACCATATATCCAATAAGAGTTTTTTGGTTCCACGGGAATCTACATTGAACATGAATAAATGTAAGCTTTCTTATAAAAATGTGATTGACACTTAAAAGTCATTTTCACTCACGTCGTTCTGAACGTAATGAAAACCGATTCAATGTCGAATTCTCCTTTCGTTATATAACAAATTATCACTGTAGCTAAAGACAGCATTATAGCACATACAGAATATGGATATTTCATGCAAAAGGAAAACAATTTATAATACCATTCACTTGTATGATTTACTTGTATCAAGTGACGAAACGAGTCTTCGTTTGCATCTAAACAAATTGAAATATTCAGATTACATTTCACAATCACTGAATAAATATATTGTTCTTACATTTCGAATAAATTTTCGTGAGCGATTCAAAGACACCATTGATTTTATTTTGCAAAAAGAATCCCATCACAACAATATAAATCGTAAAAGATGCTGCAGCTAACGCAAATATTGCATACAGCGATTCCTCCAAATCGATCGCGACGAAATTCATGAAGAACACAAGACTTGCTATGAACGCACTCAACATCAATGAAAATACGATTAGACTGCAAACAATACGAGATCGTTTCTCCCATTCACTGCATGGTTCTTTGATTGAACACAGGTTTAACCGAATCATGATACGTTGAACTGATGCAAGAGGTTTCATTTCGTTTTTATTTCAAGAGTTTATACAATTTTTGTAATTTTTTTGGAATACGGACAGAAAAAAGATGCTTTTAGGAAAAACCCAGAAAGAATCTATTTTATTAGACTGAATATTAAACAAAGTATATATTTATTAAAAACTTTCAAATGATCACATGAGTACTTGAATACCAACTGAAATAAAACTACTTGCAGAGGACGTATTTATAGGTGCTTATTCGTTTGAAATATTTAAAAGAACTCGCGCCGAATGAATATAATATTTAAACAAAAACTAAACTTAGTAAAAATTGTAGTAAAATTTGGCCTTCTATTGTTTTATCATTGATCTGAATTGTTCGGCTTATTCTGCCGCCCCCAGCTCCACATATATACCACAAAAATACAATTTTAATTTGAAACGAATGTTTGCTTTGATTCCATATCATAATTCTGCTTATTCCTTTAAAATACGTAAACCATTCAAGGTACTTGCGGTTTTACTGCATTTTAATCAAATATTTACATTTTCTTGGCACGAGTTTTCGAAACCCCCAAACTCAAGGTATTACTTCATTTTTTCCATATTTTATGCCAAAGTCCATTTTCCATATCGTATGATATTTTCCAAACTATTTTGAGAAATCCACATGGCAATTTCACGGAGAACGGCAGTTCCCAACTGATGCAATACCAACATACATATATTACATACATTTTGTTAATCATAAATTGATTTGTTCATTAGACGAAGGATGACTAGTCAAATGTCCGCACATGAAATTTTTTTTAACATACAGTTTCACCAACATCCGGAATCAGAAATATCGAAATCTTCGATTTACCGCAATTTTTTGAAAATTTAATTTCTTTCGGTCTTTTTATACTTAGATAGTACCCAATATCTACTCTCCAAACAACATGCATATGAGGTTAAATATGAAAAACATAAATATAACCATCAGTTATACCTCCAATATAACCATAATTTTGTTCAAAATGATGTAAGGAAAACAGCAGATCTAAGCAGACCAATGCATTATATTTCTGCAGTTTTTTCATTTTATGAATTTTTAACTTTTGATATTCGACTATTCAATATGCTGGAATTTGAGAGTAATCTTTCACATTGCGTCAAAACAAAAAAAATCAGACTGAATAAAACCAAACCTTGGCATCATACACTAATAAACAAAATTTGGATGAGGTGAAACTCCAGCGATAGAACTTGTTTATAGATACTTTCTACATTCACAGTATTTTGCCATGTCCCATTTTTTTTTTAAATGGTGTTGTTCGGAAAATAGAGACATTCGGTGATTTGGTAGAACATATGAGGGTGAAACTCTACTTTTGCAGAAGATTAGATTTGTGATGATCGTTTTGCTAGGTTTGCAATCAATAATCAAAATATTTTAAATTTTTCTTACAACAAAATCATGTTATCAGGACAAATCCGATATTCCTATAAACTTGCTTTCATTGGTTCCTATTTTGAGCTGCAAATTTTACACTCATCATGAAATGTTGCTAATAAGCTATGCTATTGATATAAATTATCGAATAAAATCGATTTTCAACCTGATATTTATTTTCAAAACATTTGATTTCTTTAATGAAATGTCAAATGCGAATTGAATAACATTGCTGTCTTCATTGATCTTAAATGAAAAAATCTATTTCATGACATACTAATCTAATAGGAACAGTTAATGAAAATGACGATACACTTATATTCATCATGGTACACTTACATAATCGATTGAAGTCTGATGGATATTGAAAGACATGCAAATGAGTGGAGACACTGAGAAGCCAGTGATAATGCTCTCTAAGAACTCAAAACATTCGAGAGTGTGAAAAAATATTGAAAATTGTCGATTTGGCAGAGGGGCATGTGAATTGAAAAAATATTAGTTCGAAAGGAG